GGGTAGATCTTCATTTAGGCGGGATGAGGGATCGACACTGCTTCCGTTTTAGGTTCGGCATATGTTCCGACCCGGCTAAAGATCCTGAAGTGCCGAAGCCAAGACGACTCCTTCGTTTCACATCCTGGTCTTCACAACCATCGCGGCTAAATCAACTCTCTACAGACAGCTATAAAGGTGCGTCGAACGAGTGCTCTGGGAGACTATGAGCTACAAGACTCAGAACTTCTACTTAGTATTCACTGACTTACCATGGCTCGCCTATCTCAGTTCCTTCTGGCCTGCGCTCTTGCAGTCAAAGCTTTCGCTGCCCCCGCCGCCGAGCCCGTCGAGGAACGGGGCCCCAACTTCTTTTCTGCTCTTGCTGAGCGCTCGACTGGCAGTTCCACTGGCTACTCGAACGGCTATTACTATAGCTTCTGGACCGATGGCGCAAGCGGCGATGTTGAATATAGCAACGGCGCCGGGGGGTCCTACAGCGTGACCTGGTCATCGGCCTCGAACTTCGTCGGTGGAAAGGGCTGGAACCCTGGAAGTGCTCAGTAAGTCATCGATTGCTGAGCAATTGCTTAACTATTTCTCCGTCTCTGGGTTTCTCCTCTGAAACACATGAATTGACCCGTCCTACAGTGACATTACGTACTCCGGCTCCTGGACCAGCACAGGAAACAGCAACAGCTACCTCTCCGTCTACGGCTGGACCACCGGTCCTCTCGTCGAGTACTACATCCTGGAGGACTACGGGGAGTACAACCCCGGCTCAGCTGGCACTTACAAAGGCTCGGTCTACTCCGACGGATCGACGTACAATATCTACACGGCGACCCGCACCAACGCTCCCTCCATCCAGGGCACGGCCACTTTCACGCAGTACTGGTCCATTCGCCAGACAAAGCGCGTCGGCGGTACCGTGACGACTGCCAACCATTTCAATGCCTGGGCGAAGCTGGGAATGAATCTGGGCACGCACAACTATCAGATCGTCGCTACTGAAGGCTACTACTCGTCTGGGTCTGCGTCCATTACGGTTGCCTGAGAGCGTGCAGATATCCTGCTGCGATATATGCTGTATCTCTGGCACCATTTCTGTGATAGCAATGAGTGGATGAGGAAGTTGGCGTGTTCGTACATGAGCAGGGTGGTAGTAGAGGAACTTGGATGAGCATTGGATTTTGAATTATTTTTCATTCAATCTCAACCTCCAGTTTCGTAGCAACAAGTAGTTTTCATTTGTTTGAAGTTATGCTGTAAGAATCACGAGCTGTGGCCTGTAGAGTAAGGAGATAAAAAGGGCGAACTGATCTTCCCGTAGCTCTCTTGCCCGGGGGCTCGACCATCCCTCCTCCAACTTTCCCTTGCGACCACCACCTAGCAGCTTTTCAAAACTTCCTTTTCGCGTCTCACCAATTAGTGATATCTGTTCTGAGTCATAATGCATTCCTCACTCGCATATTTGAACTGACTGAACGCTTTATATACGACATCTACTCCTGCCTTCCGACAAAAAGGGATTCTTCTTTCTTGACTCTCTTCGGTGCACTACATTACCTTTTCATTAGGATTGTTACTCCGTTTTTCATATAATCGGTGGACCATTAGCTCTTCGTCTCGAAGCATTTGCTGTGTGAGATCACCTCGGAAATGATAGGCGGCATATACATCCCGTCTCACATCCCGTGGAGATCTGCTCCGAATGTCACACTGGGGCCCCAATCATACTGTTATCATGACCGGCAATGATTCTTTGTTGGTCTTTTCCCAACACTGACAAGGCAGTTCCCAGGCTTATGACAAGCAGACATTTCCCTCGAGAGCTCCCGTTATTTAGTTACTCCCTCCCCGAACGACCATCTGATAAAAGCCAAGTTCCTTTCCGAACCTCGATCAGATAACGAAACCAGCGCAGGGAGTTCTTCGACACACCTTCTTTGTCAATGTCTACTCCAAAGTCCGACCGTGATGCATCTCAGGATGACCCCCAACCCGAGTCATCCGCTATGGCCAGATCCGCTGGAGTGAAGAAAATGGAGGTCCTCCACGAAGGCCTGTCTAGAGGTATCCGTGCTTTGGTCTTCATCGGTCTCTTCCTCGTCGCATACGTCTACGGCCTGGATGGCCTCGTACGGAGCACATACCAGGTTCTCTCGCTGTCTGACTCCTTCCACATACCAGATACATGCTAATATTCAAGTGATGGTTCCATAGCCGTACGCTACCGCTTCCTACAAGACCCACAGCCTCCTTGTGACTGTCGATATACTACGGGCTGTTGTTGCAGCAGCAATCCAGGTACACCCTACGCTCTTTGCTCATACCGTTTCACTAAGAACACCTGTGGTAGCCCACCGCAGCCAAGATCGCAGACGTCATTGGGAGACCCGAATTGATTGTTGTGTCAATCTTCTTCTACACCATTGGTATGAAGGTGCTTTCTAGCGTCGGCTCACAGCTACTAATGCGGTTCCAGGCACTGTGGTCGAGGCTTGTTCCAAAACAGTAGAACAGTTTGCTGCAGGTGCGGTGCTGTATCAGGTAAGATGAGCCTTTTGCTCCCATAGTCTGCTGATACTGACGATTGGACTTGATTAGGTCGGCTACACACTTATCGTACTGCTTGTCGAAATACTTGTGGCGGATCTCTCATCCCTGCGAAGCCGTTTGCTGTGCTCCTATATACCTGCGATTCCTTTCATTGTAAGCGTGGCCCATTGGATTGCATACGATGTGTCGCCTAAGTCAGATAACGCAGATCAATACATGGGTCAGTGGAGATGTTGCTGCAGCCGTTCTGCGTGCGACTAGTTGGCGGTGGGGTGTGGGCATGCTTGGAATCCTATACCCAGGTAAAGATCAGCTTGACTGGAATACTTGAGAGCTACTAAAACATCATCAGCCTGCACTGTTCCCCTACTGTCTACGCTATTCATCTCTCAATACGTGATGAAGCGGAATGGAGACTACAACGGGGCCCAGAGAACCCATAGTGCCTGGCGCGCGACAAAGGGGTTATTCTGGTACATGGATGTGATTGGTATGATCCTGCTGATTGCATGTCTCTCCCTCATATTAGTTCCCTTCACCATTGCGGGGGGCTTCAGTGGGCGCTGGAAACAGGCCAAAGTGACTACACCTCTGGTATTCGGGATACTATGTCTACCAGCCTTCGTTTACTGGGAGCGAAGATGCGCGCACCCCTTAGTCCCATTCAAATTACTAAGGGACCGAGCTGTCTGGGGAGCATTGGGTATTGCGGTGATGCTTAATACAGGTATGATGATGGGGTTACCTGGATTAAGATATCTGCTTACAGTTTATTATAGCCTGGGCTTTGCAGGCAAGTTATCTCTATACTGTGCTCGTTGTTAGCTTCGGTGAGAGCATTAGCAGTGCGACGAGGATACACTCGCTTTACAGGTACATGTCCGGACCTCCACAATAACATGTGCTGACCATGACCAGCTTTGCTTCTGTCATCACTGGCTTCTTACTTGGCTTCGTCGTATACGGGGTCAGACGCCTCAAGCCGTTCATCGTTGCAGGTACCCTCTTATTCATGGTTTCGTTCGGCCTATTGATCCACTATCGCGGGGGACATGCTTCATCAAGCCACTCGGGCATCGTAGGGGGACAAGTGCTTCTAGGCATAGGTATGTCTTACCCAGTTGTTCACACCAAGACGCCCGTACCTGATATTTTGTGCAGCGGGTGGACTCTTCCCATATTCCGCCCAAGCCAGCATCCAGGCTGCTACCAAACATGAGCGTGAGCAAATACTCTCCGCCTTCCCCTTCCCTCCTTTACGTGAACAAAGCTTCTAACACAATCAGACCTCGCGGTCGTAACCGCACTCTTCATGACCTGCTACAACATCGGCAGCGCCCTCGGTGGCACCATCTCCGGGGCAATCTGGACGCAGGTTCTTCCCACGCAGCTGGAAGTCCGGTTGAGCAACGCCACCCTGGCGGCCGAGGTATACGCGGACCCGTTCACGTTCAGCCTGCAGTACCCCATGGGAACGCCCGCCCGGGATGCAGTCGTCGATGCCTACAGGGATGCGCAGAAGCTGCTGTGTATCACCGGCATATGTCTCACCGTGCCGCTGATCGCGTTCGCTCTCTGCACCCGGAACACGAGGCTCACCAACGAGCAGAGCCTGGCCAATGCTGAGGAGGATTCGGAGTAGTGTTGTGTATTGCAAGGCAGAGATATGATCTCAGAGATCATGTGTGCTCAGGGAATCGTTTGGGGTGAGGCTGTTGGTTGCATTGATCAGGTCATGGCGTCACTGTAGGCTGAGATATAGCCTGGGATGAAATACTAAAAGTCGGCGTTTGCCAGGGTCACGGTATGTAACCGAACCGAAGTCCAAAACAATGTAGGCAAGTAAAGTCAGTAGCATCTGGAAGGTATAATTGGGGAGAAGCCGCGCAGGGGTGTTAGAGGAAAAGCAAAAAGTAAGTGCATCATCCGTGAATCGAACACGGGCCTCATCGATGGCAACGATGAATTCTACCACTAGACCAATGATGCTAGTTACTTGAAAGGCATTTGAAACCTTGGGATCACTAAGCTTTTACCACGCTCTATAAGCGCCTTGCTGCAAGAAGCAAACATTTTTGAGGTCTAACCCTATGGGCTAAAGGATACATCTAACTAGATCTGATTATCTAACAATGTGACAGAAAATGGCTTCTTCTCCCAGGGATTGGTTGACTAAGTCTAGCAGCTTCCATGATGTAGTCTGGAAAGCTAGGCCAAGTTGATCACACACCCTTCAACAAAATCAATGGCGTAAAAGTGAACAGGATGGGGTATTTGACGACTGAAAAGCATCATCTAGTTATCGAACTTGAAGGACTTGCCGCCAGGCATGTCAATGGGACCGCCACGATAAGATCCACGCTTCTTCTTGTTCTCCTCCTTGGTGAAACCCTTTCCCCGGGTGACAAACAGATCTGCTCGGCCTTCTCGGCGTACACATAGGGGATGAATTCATTCGATTACGACTCTCTAAGACGAGTAATGTTAGTACCATGGTCATGGCTCATAGGTAGAGGGTATCTTACTCCTCCTTAATGATTGTCCTTTCTATCTTCCTGTCCTCCCGGAAAGCGAGTATATTCTCTACCCGTTGCTTGGTCTCCGTAACCATATGTCGCAACTCAATGGGCCCGTTCTCTAATTCGACGAGACCTTGATGCAACTGCATCAATTCCCCAAAGTTGGGGGCCGCGGGGGCATCATGTTCAGGGGCGGCGGCAGGGGCGGCGGCAGTAGCATCCTGCTCCTGCTGTTGCTGCTCCCGCTGAGAGGCGTCCCGGAGGGCAGGCACGGGGCCCCGAGGGCCGACGGTGGGGGGGGCGCGGGCGCGGGCTGAGAGGGCGGGGGAGGTGGACATTTCTCTCTTAACCTAGTCCGTCGTTAGACTTAGTTGGTATTACAGGCTGACTATACTCACGGCGACAAACTGAATGACAGATTAGCACTTCCTATGAACCTAAGAAGAATGAGGGGATTTACTTACAAACTGAGCATGAGTTTCAATCTCTTCCTTCTTCACTATTTCGGGGCAATTCGCCTGCAAGTGTCCTTTCTTGCCGCAACGGTAGCAATCTCGAGTCTGGAGGGTTAGTTGGTACTAATACTGAAATCTTCTTTAAGGACAACTTACTTCTTCCACTTGAGGCATTTTGATTAGCCTAGATCAATCGTTAGCCCTTGAAAAAACTATAGGAATAGGGTGATATGGGATGAATTGGGATATATTGGGGTACACTGGGATAAGAAGAGATGAAATAGGATGAAATAAGATGAAGTGAGACACAGAAGAGATGAGACAAGATGATGCAGGATTGCTCGCGTACAAACGGGCTCGTTTCACGGGCATCAATGAGATACAAGATAGCAGAGAGATGAAAGAGAGATGAGGCTGAGATGAAGCTGAGACGAAGCATGACAAAAGGATGATAGAAGATGGGGATGCAGGGTGAAGCCATACTAGTTGACAAGCTCGCCTCACGCGTCAGATACATCAAAAACAAGGTAATAGATACATGACATGAGCAGAAATGGGAATGAAGATAAGAAGCAATGATATTTAGATGGAAGCTGATGAAAAGGACTCGAAAGAGGATTATACTCACGAACGTGTTAAGCTACTCGTCCGGGGAGAGGAAGAAGAGGAGAAGGAGAAAGAGAAGAGGAAGAGGAAGAAGAGGAAGCGGAGGAGGGAGGAGGGAGGAGGGGACGGACGGGGAGAGCGTGGGGAGAGAGAGCGCCGGCCCACAGTGAATGAGACACCCACCTACCCTCATTATCAGCTATGGATGTCTCTGCCAGCAGGGATCTAGTGAATTCGACTCGACGAGTGGTTTTAATGATGTTAACATCTAGTTTTGTATATACCAAGTATCTTTACAACTCGCATAGTGAAATCGATTAGCTGAATTGCTTCGGTGAACAAGAGATATACTTTTAGGTTGTGGGTACCTGGTCTAGAGTCAACTAGAAAAACAATCCAGTCATGTTATAGGAAACAATTGTATCAATGAGAAAGGTTTATATGCCCTGGAGGCTTCAGATAGCTGTGCTGAAGCTGTCTTTGAATGTTGTGGATTATAAAGGGTTTGCGGCACGAGTTTGTATCTCTATCTCTTCGAGTCAACCTCGTGATTATATACCAAGTAGTGGGCAAATAATCTCATTCGATTTCAAAGCCCTTTTCTATACATTCTGGCTTCCTCCCCGTCTTTGCGTTCATCCCTCAACAGCCGACGCAGAACTAGTCTGTGCTGGCTCCGCCGACTTTGGCCTTGCTCTTGGGCATAAGCCTGACGTGTTTGATCTCTACGGAGCAGAATAATACTGCAGAGTACTGCCATATCCACCGGTTCTACCACCGCGCGCAACCGGAATTCCGGACGGGACAGCTCTCGAGATACTGCCAGTGCCAGCACGGTACCAGCTGGAGGTTGAAGAACCATCTAGGATGATACTGTTCCATGAGCCGCTAGCTACGGTCGAATCCAAACCGGGTGACAAAAATACGGTCATTTATCGTAATCCGCATATCCAGTTCTTGAGCATCATGGCTCTCCTCTTTTCATGAATTGTCCCGACGCTTGTTCTACCTGCAGTGCCAGGCATACATCCAGACTTGGCTCCCGCCAATGTCTTTAGGAAATGGCCGAGTAGTTGAAGTAACGCACTGGTATTTTCGGGAGTTGGAAGGAGAAATGGGCCGTGTTAAGGCTTGCCGAACCCGTGGAGACGGAGGAGATTGTTTCTGGAAGCATTCGTAGACAGGGTTAGTCCAAGATCCACAATATAAGACGGTTGGGGATACTCTTTCTCAAAGATTGTTCTGCATCAAGAAGTTTGACCGATTGCAGTCGGTGCTGAGCCTCGCTGGTGATTGTGCCTGATGATCAATGTCGCAAGTTGAGAACAGTCAAGGTTGAACTGGCTATGCGAGAAAGAACCGACCAGCGAAGAACCTCGAGTGTACTTCATTCCAGTCACGGACCTCACCGACAAATGTGTCTTCTTATCGAAACTTAGCTCTTATTCAGTAATGAACACAGGTAAGGTATCTCAGTCATTTCTGGATCATCCACCAACTTTGCAGAAAGCTGTGATATCATGCTCTAGTCCCCGACGCACCCACACCTGTTTTGCTAGCCTTCATGACTTCGCTTCAGGAATCCAAGCTCGCAATACATAGCAATTCTCAAAGGTTGCTATCCCAGGGCTACAAGGTTTATTCCATATCAAGGCAATATTCTGACACTTTAACTTCGAATACCGACCTTGAACTTAAGCTTTTCTATGAACTGGACGGATGGCTCTACGAAGCTCAACCATTATTGTTTCATTTGTGCGCCCTGCCACTGAATGTCTGGCTAAAGTCTCACATCATTTCTGAGGACGTCCGGAGCTTTGTTATGATTGTGACTGTTGGTACCAAGATGTCAACATTACATTCAACTCCCATTGATAAGGTACTTGGTCTTTTAGTTTAATCTCGATATTCCCTCGAGGAGCACGCATTTGATCAACCCGTTGGCGAAGCTCAAGGACCATATCATGACAATGAATATAGTTCATGCTTAACTGCTTCTGCTGCTTCTGCAGCGCCTGAGCGATTATTCGGAGGCTTGGCTCCCTCCCGGGGCAGCAGACGAGGATGTTATATTTTGCGATTCAACAAATGCTCAAAGTTCAACCCATGTCTAGCTTGCAATCCGGTCTGCTTTAGCATCACCAGAGCCCACTCTCGGCCGCCAATCCCACCCTCGTGCAATCCCTGCATCTGGGAGTTTCTAATCCGACCGTATAGTCAAGGCCCGGCCCGATACAACAATCGAAGCCCACGTCGCATCGTTCACACGGGGCTAGACGTCTATCTTTTGTCATTCGATGTCGATATGCTAGAAGCAGGGTCATATGGCGGCGGAGAGCCCTGCGCGCAAGAACTCTGTGCCTCTTCCTCCAACGTCGCTTCAACTTGGGCCACCACGTCAAATGGCATATCGGTGAGATTGAATTCAACCAACTTTCCAGCGCACTCAAACACAAAGGAAGCGCAAAGTCTGTAGGATCTGCTGAGATTAAACGTGCTGAAAGATATGTCCGGCCGGCCAAGCATCAGTGATCCGAAGGCTTGGGACAAATCTAAAGTCCCCATAACAGGCATCGCAATATGACTTTGACCTAGCAAGTCGATCTTTTCGTCCACCTGCCCTGACAAAGCTCCTATCAGAGAAGGCGCAGCCCGAGCAGCGGTTTGACTGACAACCCACAATGACAAAGACTGCAATAAAATGTCCGGAGGCTGGCTGACAGATGAGTCTTCCATAAATGGGAGAATATCTAAGAAGCATGAGATAGTCGATGCTTGCTTGACGCAAGTGGGATAGGAGAACGTTGCTCTGAAGCTGAAACGGGGCAGTTTGGTCGAAACCCATGATTGGAATCTCTCTTGGAAGGTTAAACTTCGCCCTTTGTTTTCAGGAAGGAGCAAGATACTGCGGATTTCGAACACTTCCTCTCTTTGCTGTCGATAAAGGGCAGACTGGTCACCGCTTTTCTCCGCGTTCGGTGCTGAGGGGAGATATTTCAAGTGCTGCGTCTCCTTGAACAAAGGCGGTTTCTTCCCCAGGAGACCTCTCTGTGGCTTGGATATTTCAGCCTGTACTCGGTAGTCGATCACGCATTCCAAATTACGAAGGGAGTCCCCCGTCTCGGCTGCAAACGACGGCGGTAGCGGGTGATTTACATCGCTGCGGAAAGGAGGCTTCTCGGACCATCCGGATGACGGGCCTGGCGACTGAACATGGGCAGGAAACGTGAAAGTAAATGGCCACTCGTACGTCCCTGGATCCAATTTTCCGCCATTGAGATGCGACAGGATTCTCTCTTTCTCAAACAGCACACATTTGCTGCGATAGCTGGCTGAAGGAGCCGCCGATCCCTTGACTTTCTGGACTTTGGCCTTGGTGCGCCCGGTGAAGCTCACCCGGATGTCCTCGATTTCGGTCGCTTGAGTACAGTGGAACTTGACGTGACCGCTTATCGTTTCGCCCCCCGAGTACCAGCGCTTCTGGTTGTTGAGATGTATGCTCAGAGGCATGGTGAAGGACGTTTCTCAAATGCGCTCGGGGGAGAACAACGTTGAAGGAAAATTGGAGAGTGAAGAGGGCTTCAGGGTCTTTATGGGGCGAGGTTACACTTATTCAGTGGGCCCGATCCAAGCTTTTGCCTCGAAAGTCAAACTGCATGGCTGTGAAGTAAAACTGAACGAATACGAACAGAATTTCCGCTTCGGGGAGAAAAGACACTCTCCGAGGTCCCTCGGTCGGTTGAGTGGTGGGGCCTTCTCTTACACCTACAAATGCTTTGCTAACTATTTTTGGATCATGTTGGAACTGTAGTACTCGTACCAAACATTGGAGTTTAGATGCAGTTGCCCTATAGAATCATTTTGAGCTACCGCATCGCCAGTCTGACTGAGAAAGTAATATAGATATAGTATACTGTACACCTTGCGGCGAATGATCGAAACAGCCCGCGGCAGTGCCTCTTAGTGCTTTCGGATATCCGTCGAACTTCCCGAGTCGAACTACAGAATCAATTTACAATAACAAATCATTTCGAATGCTATTTCCTTAGTCGGACTGCATTCCTCTAACACCTGGACTACTGTGCGGATAGACAATCATCCAGTCTTCTTTGTCTGTGGCTTGGTTTTCGTTGTTCTTTGTTCCTTTTCATTTCTGAAGCAGAAAACAAGACTTTCCGGCAATGCTTTGAGCATATTGGCAACATGCACCTTTGTCCGATCAAAATAAAGAGATCACGGCTACTGAATCTGTCTTATCATTGGCTCAGGCACTCCTATATCAAGTCGCAAACCTTCTCAGTAATCTTGGAATGTTTCAGCGTGCAATCACTGGCAAGATTAGAGGAACCTCCTTCTATTTACCAGGAGAAATAAGTCGACGACCGCAGCCTTGCACGTCTGAGATCATCATCGTCAAAGGGACTCGATAAATTCTGTTGCATTGACCGTGGACTAGCGTAAGTGGTGAATTCCTGGAAAAGGCAGATTGAGCACAGTCTAGAGCTTTCAACACATGCTCCAGTTCTGTCGCTGCTACATTCACTAGGAAGCTGCTTACTTTGCATCATCCGCCCAGGCTTTATCTATCTTACGGATTGTCTCTCCGCTGCCTCGACCACCACCTTTGTTCCATCCTTCTTTCATCTCTCTTTCATCATTTCTCCTCCTACCTCACCCCTCTCTATCTCTACCTCTTGAGTCTATCAGCATGCCTCGCGCCGACTTCTTGCGGGACGCTAGACAGGCCTCTCATCCTCAGTTGACTGGCTTCGAGCTTCGGCAAGATGACACCTTCACTTTCACCTACAGTGATCCAACTGGTCATCAAAGTTGTATCCAACTCCTCATTCCAGGTAAGTTACATTCCTTGCAAACTCCAGTGTCCTGATCTCGGCTAACCAAGCGCTTCACCACTAGACCTATCCGCATACCCGACTCAGCATGAGTACTTGATCTGGGGCGACGAAGGTATCTCCGATCCTGTTGCCCAGACAATTCAGTCTATTGGCTCTAAATACAATGGCCGGCCTCTGAACGCACTTCTCCAAGGCTTCTTGGACCGCTTAACTGGTCAAAGCGACGACAATACTATGGATGCCAGCTCCGAGGGTGAGGGTTATGACTTCGACACCGACGGTGAGATGGAACTGGACACGGACCACGGTCCCGACTGGGACGAGATCCATGAGCGCCTGCGAAAAGACCTTCAGGCTGCGAAACATTCCGGAATCAAAGTTGGAGTTCTGGGCGACATGCAAGGCCGCGTCATCGTGGTCACCTCTTGTCGTGTTGCTCGGCTGAACATCTCCAACGATGCGCTTCAATTGTGGAATGTCTCCCCAACCGACTATTTGGTTCTCCTCATCAAATACCCTTACAAGTACTACGGCTTGGACGATAAGGCTCGATCTAATCCGTTGCAGAAGCCGCAAATGTACGTCGGTCTTTGCGACTCGTATAAGCCCACGCTGGCGTCCACCCTGAAAGCTCTCCATCCCCCCGGACAAGAACTGAAGGACACGAGCGGTACGATTCCAGATCCCACAGCAGATCCTGCTCTCGGGCGATTGATATCCTCATTTGTCACGGAAATGCTTACGGATCTATTCAACGAACGGCTGCTGGACCTCATACAGCTTAGAATCGATCACGGCTACTCCTGGACAGGGGCCGAGCACTACTATGACACTCAACAAGGCACAAAATCCGGCATGGAAGATGATAGAGACCCGAAGTATTTTGTGGAAGAGGCCTGGAGTACCTGGATTCCCGGTTTTGTTCAAAAAGATGACCTTCGATGCATTCGGGACGAAAAGAGGCTGTCCTTACCCCGCATTGCGATGCAATATGCGCTCCGGCGCTTCACCCGTGCCAGCGAATTCTGTCTAGTATGTTACTGCAAGACCGCTGCCAGCTTCCAGGCACTGAACCCGTACGTTTGCTCGAAGCGGCTCTGTTTGTTCCAATATCTAGAATGTGGCAAGGGACCGAAGCTGGAGTGGCAGATTGTGCATCATCCGGAGGTCGTGGATCTACTCGTGTCCTTCGCCTACCGGCGTGCCAAGGCAAAATCGCTGAATGACTGTCTCGACCTTCCTCTCAAAGTCCCCAATCCGAATCTGAATTCGAAACAGGCTGTTCAGGCAAAACTGGTTGGTGACACGCTCGTTCCGCAGGGACGACTCGAGTTAAAGGTCGGCGAGTGGATTGTTCTTACAAGGAAGGTGAGAAACCAGAACGAAATAATCACTCCAATTCATTATTGTGTTCGCATGCACAACGATGATGATTCCTACACTCTCTCAGGGCCTATCTACGAGGGCAAGGATAATCCGGAGCCCACAAAGTCCGGATCTCCAAGCGTGATGGTTACGCTGTACAACAAAGACTTCGATAACTTGACACTGGAGGAAAAGCAGGTGATGCTCGTGAGGTTACTCGATACGCTCCCGGGAGTCGCCTCGATGGTCGAGTTCATCAAAGGCAGTTCTAGCCATCGGGCTCTCGACGCGTGGAAAGAACGCATCTCCCCCGCCGCACTGTACTTTTTGCGATGGATCGTTTCGTCAAATCGATCCTGCATCATTTATGACAAAGACCCAGAGCACAAGGTTGCAGGCATGGAGGGTCACATGCAGTTTCGACTCGCTCAAGGGACCCCAGACAAGGAGCAGGAATTCGTGGAGGCGATTGAGCGAGAGGTCCAAGCGTCGAAGAAGCAATATCCCACTCTCTTTGCTTGGCATGGATCCCCAGTCAGCAGCTGGCATAGTATCCTTCGACAGGGCCTACATTTCGAGCAATGTCGCAATGGGAGAAGTTTCGGGGATGGGGTGTATCTAGCCCGGGACTTCCGGCTCTCTGATGGCTACTCTATAAGGGATGGCGCCGAGGGGTCCTGGCCGTCGAGCAAGCTAGGGATTACGATGGCAATCTCATTGAACGAGGTTGTCAACTGTCCAGAGAAGTTCAAGTGCACATCGCCGTATGTGGTGCAGGAGATATCATGGATCATGCCTCGGTACCTTTTTGTGAAATGCTCTAGGCCAGCGGCGGGTACTAGCAGCCGCAAGATTCTACAAGACGTCTATGTACAGGATCCCAAGCGAACGGCTCTCGGTCAGAATGACGTACCGGTCACAATTCCTCTATCCGGGGTACGGACTCATCTTTCTCAAGCACAGAGATCCTCAGTCGGTGGTGATGGTGGTGGTGGTCGCAAATTGGACGCTGGCTATGAGAGCGACGCGACCCTCGATGAGGATCGCCGCCTGCTCGAACAAAATGACGATGACAGTGACTGCGTGATCCTCGACCCCTTGGCGGTGAAGATGCTGCGCGTGTTAAGATCCGCCAACATCAAGCTATTGCCCCCTCCTACCGACGCCACCTCGCAGGCCACCACAAGACTGATGCGGGAGTTGGGAGCCACCGCAGCGCTCCAGGCACGCGGCTCCTTGGCTGAGCTCGGTTGGTACATCGATCCCGAACGGGTTGACAATCCGTACCAGTGGCTCGTGGCTCTGCACAGTTTCGATCCCAGCCTACCGTTGGCACGGGACCTGGCCGCCACCGAGAACAAGTGCATTCTCCTGGAAATCCGGTTCCCACCCTCATTCCCGTACTCTCCTCCATTCGTTCGCGTCGTCAGACCACGGTTTGTGCCGCTCGCGGCTGGCGGAGGGGGCCATGTCACCGCCGGAGGCGCCATCTGTATGGACCTGCTCACCAGCTCCGGCTGGAATCCGCTGTATCGCATGGAGAGCGTCCTGTTGCAGGTGCGGCTCCTCATCTCATCCAAGGACCCGTACCCGGCCCGCCTGGATGCTCACCAGAAGCACGATTACTCCTGGCGCGAGGCCGTCAACGCATTCATCAGGATGTGTAGCATTCACAACTGGAAGGTGCCGGAAGACTTCGGAAAGATGCAAGCAGCATAGTGCGACTGCGTTCCCCTTCTATTCCGAACTAAGATGGTGAGGCAGAGAGACGGTGGATAGTGGTGGATACTTGAGCCGGCGAAGCAACACTACAGACATGCATCCTTTCATGGTTGATTGCCCAAACGGACACCAAGGCTACATGTACAGTCCAAGACTCAAATCCATCCAACACAACCACCTATTTATTGTGTAGTCCATTTGCTAGACCCAGTATCAATGAGCAGATCCTATTAGATCCCAATCCACAAGCCCAGTAATAGTAACATCAACATGCACCTTGGCATTCCTCCCTCGCGACCCGGTCCTCAGCCCCTGCTTTCCAAAGCTCACCAGCCCAACATCCGCTAACTCCGCCAGTCCCATATCAAGACTCATCCCCACAACCCCGGCGGTGCGGTTCAGGGCCCAGAACTCGATTGCCAGGGGCAGCGTGTCCAGGACCTCGTTCAGCGTGTCCAGCGCTTCGCCGTTGTTGCTGGGGTCGGTGAGATCGATGTGTGAGAGTTTGGTGAGGTCGAGGGCGTTGAGGTTCAAGGTTGGGAGGAGGGAGAAGGTGCGGCGGTGGTTGTTTTGGGTTGGTGGGTGCGGGAATCGGTGGGTGCGGGAATCGGTGGGTGCGGGAATCGGTGGGTGCGGGAATCGGTGGGTGCGGGAATCGGTGGGCGTGGTTTTGGGGGTGGATATGGGCGTGTGTGTGCGATGTTGGTGAGGCGGCTGCTTGGTGGATGAAGGTGATTGTTGTTGTGAGGAGTGTGAGGCTCAGGCTGAGGGGG